GGGGGGGGGGGGGTAAGAGAAGAAGCTGTTTGTACAAATACATGTGCTGTGCTTGAGGACACTGTGGAAAGTGAAAGGTGGTACTTGTGTTTTCGGGTTTATTTTTATTTTACATTTGATTATTTTCTTCATACTGGGTATTTTTTTCTTGTTTGTTAACTGTGGATTCTTTAGCTAATTTGTGGTTACTTCATCTTTGCTAATATAATAATGTGTATATATAAGAAAGGAACGTAACAGACTTCGGTTTCATTTTTTGTACTCCATTTGTTCTTCTATTTCTTTCTCACTTTAATATTTTGATGTTGCTTTGGGTCCACATGTTAACTCACATTTGTACGGGCTAGAATTAAAAATTGTACTGCATGAAGGTTCACTAGCTGATCTTATGCACGGAGTCCATCACAGATTTATTTGTTGGTAAATTAATAATGACTACATGATTGAAAGCAAGCTTTTGTGCGTTTGTATTGTGTAAGACAGATAGCCCTTTGATTGCCTGTGATGCAAGAATAAAATAAATAAATAATTTGTGCATGCCCACTTTTCTAACATCAAACCAAATACTATTATACACTTTTATAATGACATGTCAACATAGATTGATTGTGTTTCCAGTGTTAACAGCTGAAATTTGAATATTTTATTCGGAATGATATGTGCCAGTTTGTGCATGTCTTAGTCTTCTTCTGTTTGTATGTCATATTTTTAATATTTGACTTTACGGTTGTGCCATTGGAAAGTGATGAACTACTAAACTTATGTTTCCTATTACACACATTTTCTAGACTTGGTTTTGAACATCTAATGGCATCATCGGATGAAGAGGGTGAAATTGTCCCAGATCTTGTTGATAGTTATTGGTTTGAAAATGAAAAGGAGGAGCTTGTGTCACTTTCTAGTTTGACAGTATTGTGGAGCATTAGTGAGATTGAATGTGACTTGGAAAAAAAAGTATTTTTGCGTGGCACCACTGATGATGGCCTCCAGAAAATTCACAAACAGATCATAGGATGGAGATTTGAACTTTCCCATCAGCAGCAGCCTGAGATTTTGGCGCTTTCCAAGGACAAACACTGGATAACTCTCCAAAGACCAAGAAAGTGTTTTGAAAGTACAATTAGGACAATATTGGTCACAGTATATTGTTTGCATTTTGTGAAATGGAATCCAGAGGAATCTAAAATATCTATTTGGAACAAAATGCAGAAGGACTTTAGGTGTGTATTTTCTTTTGTCCCTTTGTAGATTTCTGATCTGCCAGATTCCATTCAATTCATTAATGAAATGTCTATTTTGCAGCTCATTTGATGTTGTGCCTTCTGAGAATGATATTCTAAGTTATGTGACGTTGATTAGAGAGGCTGCTAAAAGGCATAAAGATTTAACAAAATCCAAGGTTCATAGACTTGCACTATTTTTATTAGAATTATAATGCATTATAGGTAATACCGTTATCTGATATATTTATGTTGGATGTCTGTAAAAACTATGAAGTTAATAGAAACAACTCATTTATATTACTCCATATTTCTATTTTTTTTAATTATTTATCCGGTAATTGAGATGTTAGGTTTTATTATTTGAAAATGTAATTTCTATGCTATTCGGCATTGCTGGTGGCAATGCCTGCACCGGATGGCTTCTAGTTTTTAAAATTTCTAATAGATGCATAATAAGTCTGTTGACAATGGAAGACTTATGATTGAGTAGTATCATTGTAATTCTTAGGTTGCTACTTGTTATTTGCCTATGTGTAAAGTGTTTACCATTTTATTTAAAAGGCATAATGAAAAGGTTGTTTGAGGTCTAATGCAGCCAGGATGACTACTTTGATTTTGTACAATTCTTGGTTTGGTTATAAGCTAAATCTTCTCACATGGATACGAATGATTTACCATTTACTTCATTTATCTACTAAACTACTGCATTTAATTCTTTCTTCTACTACGTACATGTTGAGCTATGTCTATTATGAATTATGGACTACATTATCTTTGAATTCTTGGTAACTGACATTTCTCAAAAAATTTTGTTTATTTTAATGGACAGTATCTGCTTGATTTCATGGAAAAGACACGTTCAAATGGACACTTCCATGAGAACAGGGTAAAATGTTACCTTTTTTTAATTATTTTTTTTATCTGTATATGGTCTTTGAAGCTCTTTCTTGTTCGAAGTTAAGTCAGTTAATTAGCAGGATGTTCATCCTACAAAGCAATCAAAGTTTATTGTTGACTCAGAGGATGAGGAGAATGACCAATCTGATACTGAACTCAATCCTGATGGAGAACAAAATATTGGATATGATACTGTTTGTGCAATTTGTGACAATGGTGGTGAAATACTTCCGTATGTCTTTATAACATAACCATAAAATAGATTCACATATAAATAATTAACCTGTTTCATTTACATTTTTTACTAAAATATTTTATGTTTGTCTTAATGATCAGTTGTGAAGGAAGATGTCTGAGATCCTTCCATGCAACCAAAGAGGCCGGTAGAGATACATCTTGTGAATCTCTTGGCTTCACTAGTGCTCAAGTTAAGGTGAGCATTGTGTCTCCCATCTTTTGTTACTATGTTTGGACTATAGGGGAAACAAAGTCGAAAGGAAAGAAGAGTTGGATATTACTAACATTTGATTCTTGTTTGGAAGTTCTTTTTTAAGTAGATAAAATTAGGAGGGAAGAGAAAAGAGATTAGACAATTCTCCTTATTCTCCTCTCAGAATAAATTCTGTTGCTTTCCAATTTGGAATAGAAGTGGTTGAAATAAATTATCCTCTGAAAATAATTACCAAATTAATGAGAATGAGTATTTTTTATTAGTACATTCAATTCAAACAAGATGATGTTGAATATCTTTCTGTTTCTTCTCTTTTCCTCACGTTTCTTTTGTCTCCTGTCTCCCTCCCATTTCATAATAAATTCCCAAACTCAGTAGGCATCAGCATTATTTTTCATTAAATCCAACTGTTGCTTGATTGAACCAAATCATAACATTGCAGGCATTTCCAAACTTTTACTGTGAAAATTGTAAATATAAGCAGCATCAGTGCTTTGCATGTGGCAAATTGGGTTCATCTGATGTATCACCTAAAGCAGAGGTATATTTCAGTTACACTTTAGGTTTCATATATATCAAGAAAGAGGACTAATCTCTATTTGATTCCCTGAAATATTTTTGTAATTAAGTTTGATTGTGCAATTATTTTGTTTCCCAGTATAGCTAGTTGTTTTCTTTCCCGTATAATTATTCTGTTCCTTTTTTAGTTTAGCCTATTTTAGGTAATTCATATTGTCAAATTTTCTTTCCCTAATTTGGATTTAGGTTCCCTGTATAAAAAGGGGGGAGTCCCTACATAGTTAATTATTAATAGTACTCCATATTTTCTACTTGGCATGAGAGCTTGATGTTTGTGCCTATGATTTACAACCATGGCTGACAGTTCCTTAGCGATTGGTGATAATAAAAAATTGTAGCCTTCTAAACAGGAGTATTGGGTTGTTTTGGGCAATTCTTATTTTGTCCAAATCACCTCCTTTCAGTTCAATGGGTTGAACTATCTTCGGTGGTCCTAATATGTTTAGATGTATATTCATGGCAGAGGACACTACTGACCCACAACATGGTGTTTGAGGGGATGAAAACAACATGGAGGACACCATTAACAATTATGTGTTATTCCATAGCCAGAGAATTGTGGGATATTTTCATAAAAATGTATTCAGCTCATATATCTTAGATTTATGAACTCACATTACAAGCTAGAAAAATTAGTCAGAGGGAGGTGACAATGTGAAAAGATACTTTCGCTCCTTGAAGTGGTTGTGGCAAGGCCTTGATCTCTTAAAACCTTAAAAAGGGAAACCACTGGAACTCTCCTACTCCATGACAATATTCCATCACGTTTCTAGGACGATGTTGCTCTCACAGCATGCAATCTCATCAATCTCATACTTTCCTCTATCCTAAATGATCAGGTTCCCCAATGTATCTTTGTCCCTCACCACTCCATACTTTTCCTCCTTGTGTCTTTAGCTCCACATGTTTTGTTCATAATCTCTCTCTTGGACTTGATAAACTCTTTATTCAGGCCATCAAATGTGTCTTCCTCAGTTATCATTACTCACATAAAGGTTATCATTGTTTTCCTCTTACTCTTCAACATAATTTTATTTCGGTTGATGTCTCATTGTTTGAGTCTATTACGTACTTTGAGTTTGTCCTTCTTAATTTTAAAGTCTAGCCCCATGACTCAACTAGTAACGCTTCATTGGTACTTCTTCCTTCTATATCTTTGGAAAACTCACCTACACACTAGGATGTCCCTCTTGAGGCTACCATAACTATATAAGCTTTTCATATGTATCAATGATGCCAATGTGATGATGTCACAAGGGAGGTTATGCAAGAATCTTCCCTAGTGCCAACTCCTTTACTAGCCCTAGGCCTACCTCTTGGAATTGACTAGCAATTTCTATAACAAAAGGTATGCGGTTTTATTGTAATCCCTTTCCTCACTACATTGCATTGAGTTATCATCGCCTTTCTCTTTTGCATTATTCTTTCCTTTTTCTCATTTGTCTTGTGTGTCTATACCTAACTCTAAGTGAAGCACTATCTTATCTTAATTGGAGGCAAGCAATGATCGAAAAGATGTGTGCACTCCAAAGCAGTGGTATGTTGGAAATGGGAATTGGTTCCCTTTCCCCTGGAAAATCTCTTGTTGGGTGTTGCTAGCATATTTACGCCCTCAAAGTTGGTCCTAGTGGCAAAATTGATCGTTCCAAAAATTTATTGGTTGCAAAAGGGTATACATAGGTGTTTGAATAGGACTACATTGACATTTTCTCTCCAATAGCCAAAGTGGATTATGTATGACTTTTATTTTCCATGTATGCCATTTTCCATTAATCTCTCTTTCAACTTGATATTAAAATTGCTTTCTTGCATGACAATCTTGAAGAAGTTTACATGGAGCAACCACCTAGATTTGTTGGCTTTATAGCTCCCAATATGAACTTAAACAATCTTTGAGTGTCTGGTTTGGTTGTTTTCGCATTGTTGTGCTTTAGTTTGGTATGATTCGTAATTAAATCAACTATTAGTTTAATCGGTATTCACCTCAAGGTTGTATTTTATCTCATTGTGCATGTGGGTGACATTGTCATAATTGGCAGTGATCTGTGTTCATCTTAAGTAGTACTTATACCAACAATTTCAAACTACAAACCTCGGTAAGCTTCAATATTTTTTGGGTATTGAAGTCACTCAATCCAAAGAATGGATGGTGGTATCTTAGAAGAAATATGCTCTTGACATCCTTGAAGAAATTGGGTAGATGAATGCCAAGCTAGTAGATACTGCCATGGATCCTAATGTCAAAATACTACCCAATCAAAGAGAGCCACTATTAAATCCTTGGAAAAACAAAAGTTTTGTTGAAAAGATAAAAGTTGATAAAAGAAACAGTATATTAATTGTGATTTTGTAAATTCTCTAATATCTCGATTTATAGAGTAAATGACTATGCTTTAAATAAGGAAATAACAATAACAAAGAAGTAGGGAAACAAATATTGAAATATTTTTAGAGATATTTTATATTTTCTAAGTATTTATGATATTTACAATATTTCCCCTCAAGTTGGTAAATGGATAGCAATCATTCCCAACTTGCCAATAAGATCTTGGAATCTAGCACTAGGGAGTTCCGTTGTGAAGACATTTGCTACTTGAACTCCTGTAGGTATATGAGTTGTAACTATAAGGCCATTATCCAACTTCTCTTTGATGAAGTGTCTATCAATCTCTATGTGTTTCGTTTTGTCATGTTGAACTGGGTTATAACAATGGTGATAGCCGAATTTGTTATCACAAAACAACTTCATTGGATCTTGTATTTAACTTTCAGGTCATCAAGAATAATTTTCATCCATGATCCTTCACATATGCCATGTGCCATAGCTTGAAACTCACCTTTTGCACTAGATCTAACAACTACATTTTGTTTCTTGCTTCTCCATATTACTAGATTCTTACCAAGAAACATGCAATAATCAGAAGTGGATCTTCTATTTGTGATGAACCCTGCATAGTCAACATCAATGTATATCTTCATGGACAATGGACCTTCTCTTTTAAATAATAACCCCTTCCTTGAAGTTGCCTTTAGATATTGGAGAATCCTCTGAACTGCCTGAAGGTGTCTCTCACAAGGTCATGCATAAATTGGTTGACCACACTAACTGCATAAGCAATATCAACCCTAGTGTGTAATAGATATATCAACTTCCCTACCAATCTCTGGTATTGGGACTTCTCTACAGGTGCACTTTTTTCACTTCCAATCTTGTGATTTTGCTCAATGGGCACCCATGTGGTCTTGCACCCCAGTTTTCTTCTCTCCTTCAAAAGATCAAGAACGTATTTCCTTTGAGAAATAAAGATCCCTTATCTAGAGTATGCAACCTCTATTCCAAGGAAATACTTAAGTTTTCCCAACTCCTTCATTTCAAAGTGAGTTGCCAATTTTTCTTTTAGAATTAGTTTCTCTACCTCATCATCCCCTACAACAATCATATCATCTACATACACTAGGAGAAGGGTGAGTTTGTCATTAGGAGAATGTTTTATGAATAAGGTATGATCACTTTGACAATGTTTGTATCTCGAGGACTTCATGGCTCGAGTAAATCTTCTAAACCATGCTCGAGGAGATTGTTTGTAGCCATACAAAGCCTTTTTCAACCTACACACTTTGTTCTATCTACCATGAGATTCAAATCTTGGGGGAATCTTCATGGAAACTTCCTCCTCTTGGTTTCCATGTAGGAAAACATTTTTAACATCAAATTGTGGTAGATCCTAACCTAAGTGGGCAACTAGAGAGAGAATGAGTCTTGGTGTATTCATTTTTGCTATAGGAACAAATGTCTCCTCATAGTCAATTCCATAGGTTTATGTAAATCCCTTGGCCTCCAATTTTGATTTGTATTGATCTAATGTGCTATCAAATTTACACTTCAAAGCGTATATCCATTTGCACCCTACAATTTTCTTGTCTTTGGGTTTATCAACAATCTCCTAAGTTGAGTTTCTCTCTTATGCCTGCATCTCTTCATTCATAGATCTATACCAATTTCTATCTGTTAGAGCTTCTTGGACTGACATAGGTGTTTTGATTGCATCAATGGCTGGAATAAATCTTTGATTTTGAATAGGGAGATGGCCAGTACAAGAAAATTGAGAAATAGAATACTTGACACATGATCTCTTCCCTTTCCTCGAGACAATAGGCATATTGTCTGTAACTTTCTTATCATCATTATCATCTTTAGGGATATTTACCTTTGGTTTTGACAATTCAACTTATTGTGGGAGAAAAGTGGGTTTCTTTTGCCATTCATATGTCTTTCTAAAGAATCAATATTTTTTTTCCTGCATCATTGTGATCTTACTTTGTTTCTTCTACATCATTGTGACCTGCCTTTGTTTATTCAATGTGATCTTCTTGTGCTTTCTCAAGATTAGTATCTTGGACATCCTATAAGGAAGAGGTATCCAAAGATAGACTTGCCTTCTAGAATACTCTCCCCCTAAAGTTGAGGGTTGACAAAGAAGGGTGCGGTTTCATGTATTGTGATATCCTTTGAAACAAAAAAAAGACAACTCTGACGGTGATAACACTTGTACTCCATTTTATTAGAAAGGTTACCAATAAAGACACATTTGACGGCTATTGGGTCTAACTTACCACGATGAGGACTATGAGAATGAATAAATGCAACACACCCAAACACATGACATGTGAGACTTAATAGTAAGAGAGAAGAAGAGAAAAATAACATGTGTTCAATTGGAATAATACCTTGTAAGACACGACCTGTTAATGAGATAAGTGGTAGTTAGGACAACTTCTCCCTAGTAGACATCAAGAATAGACATCTGAAAGAGTAGAGCTCTAGCAACCTCAAGTAGGTGATGATTATTTCTTTCTATAACCCTATTATGTTAGGGAGTATTAACATAGGTTAATTCATGGATAATACCTTTCTCTATAACAAACTTAGAAAAATTCAAGATTAACATATTCAGTTTCATT